TTTTACATTGTGATAATGCTAAAGAGTATCTTTCTAGAGAATTTCAAAATTATTTTCCTCCAAATGAGATTTTACACCAAACTTCTTTTGTACATACTCCTCAACAGAATGGGGATGCTAAAATTAAATATTCAACACTTACTTAAAGTAGCCTGTTCTCTGCTCATTACAATGCATGTTCCAAATGTTCATTTGGGAGATGCATTGCTGACCTCATGTTTATCTAATTAATCATATGTCCTCTTCAGTCTTAAATGGAAGAACACCACACTCGGTTCTCTTTTCTGATATTTCTTTGTTTGTTGTTCGTCCTCAAGTATTTAGGTGTGTTTACTTAATTTATATGTTATGTACTGGTAATGATACGCTAGATCCCCAGGCTGTCAAGTGTATCTTTCTTGCGTATTCATGCTTCCAAAACGGTTATCCTTATTATCAACCTAGTTATGAAAGAAATTTGTTTGTGTTGATGTTCCTTTTCTTAAAATACTCCTTATTTTTCTGAACAGTTATGTGCTTGATACAAATCTTTTTTATCCTGCTTCTCAAGAAGTCTCAAAATCCTTGCCTTCTATGATTCCTCTTCCTAATCTTTTTTATACTTCTTCTTCATTTCAGTTACCCAATTCCACTGAATCTTGTACATCTACACGCCATGATGTTTCTCAAGAGCAGCCCATAAAGACTTATGCCAAAAGAAAAATGCCAGGTGGACATCCTCCACCACTCAGCGAGCCACTCAATCATCACCTTTGTCTATTGATCCACTTCCTTCTTGTGATGGTGATGTACCTATTGCCATCCATAAAGGTATCAAGACTTGTATTCAACATCTGATTGCACATTTTGTTACTTTTACAAACTTGCCTCCATCATATTAAAGTTTTACTTTAGCCCTTTCATCTACTTTTGTTCCTAAGATCTATCAAGAAGCACTTTATCATACTGGGTGGAAGAGAGGAATGGAAGAGGAGATGGATGTACTTCATTCAAATGATACAAGAGAATTTACTGAGTTACCAACTAGAAAAAGAACTGTTGGGTGTCGATGGGTTTATGCAGTAAAATGTCAACCTGATAGCACTCTAAAAAAATTAAAAGCTAGATTGGTAGCCAAGGGATAGACACAAATATTTGGTATTGACTACTCTGGAACATTCGCCCTTGTTGCCAAACATAATTCAATTCGAGTTGTTATATTTGTGGCTGCCAACAAGGGATAATCGTTGTGGTAACTTGATGTCAAGAATGCTCTCCTCCATTGTGATTTATAAGATGAGGTGTACATCGAGCAACCATCTGGGTTTGTTGCTCGGGGCAGCTGGATAAATTGTGTAAGCTGAAGAAAGCAATTCAGGGCCTGAAACACTCCCTATGTGCATGGTGTAATAGATTATATGAAATTGTTATAGCATATGGATTTCGGTGCAATCATGCAGATCATTCAGTGTTTATTTGGAAATAGAAATCCAAAATAATTATGACATTGTTGTGTTACTGGCAATGACCAAGAAGGAATCAGTCATTTGAAAAGACATCTAACACAATATGTTCAGACAAAGGATTCAGCTAAGGTACTTTCTAGGAATTGAAGTAACCAGATTAAAGCATGGCATTAGTTTATCTCAAAGAAAATACGTGATTGATTTATTAATAAAACTACAATGTTGGTTGCTAGACCAGTGGATAAGCTATGGCTCATATGCAAATTATTGGCTGATCAGCAAGAGTTGTTTGAAGATCTAGGAAGGTACAGAAGACTGGTAGGCTGGCAGACACCATCACCAAGCCTGATTTTGCTTTTCCAGTTATGAGGAGTCCTCACTGGGATGCTACTCAAGGGAGGCCCAGGTCGAAGTTTGATTTATAAGCCAAATAATCATTCAGCCATTGAAAGTTACTCAGACACTAATTAGGCAGTTTCACCACCTGATAGGCACTCTACCACAGAGTTGTTGGAAATGCCTGGGAACCCGAATTGTTTTAGGAACCGAAATCGCGGCCGGCTAGAAGATTCATGTCTTAAGAATCGTTGTCCGTACAATAAGAATCGCTAGGAACGAGATTCCTAGGTTTTGAGAATCGTGTTTCGATTGAAATAGATCCAAGTTTCATCCACATATGGAATCGAGATTCCGTCCTCCTTGGAATCGATATTCTCATCCCCTAGAATCGACACTCCAGGAGTCAAGATTCATTAATATACAAAATCAAGTTTCTGACATCTATGGAATCGTGCTTCTGACCTATGTGGAACAAAGATATAGCGTTGTTCCAAATCATGATTCTAACATATTTAGAATCGAGTTTCTGAAGTATATCGATCAGAGATCCATGTCAGTTTGAGATTGAGATTTACAATACTATAGACTATGGAATGCGTTTGACGATCCCTACCAGGAATAGAGATTACATTTTTATGGAGAAGGAAGCCACAAGCACATCTTGAGCCTCATCAACTTTAGAACCTATATTGGATATCTCTCAATAGAAGGTTTCCCAAATTTTAAAGTAATTGTGTTTGACTATTGAACTTACAATCATTATATACAAAAGACAAGTATTTCTAAATTATGATTTTGATTGCAGTATTATAAAGACAAAATAGGATTATGCCTATACCCTGGTTTTACTTTTAATTGTATGTGTTGTATTTACCCCAGTTATATTTTAAATTTAAGGGAAAGGCCATCCAGGGTGGCACAAGTAAAATAATGAAACCTTGCAACCACTAGAAGCATTCGAAGGAAGATTTCTACTCCAATTGATGTGAAATCAAGATTTAATCCAAGCTGGAATCCAGATTCGATATATTTGAGAATTTCTACCCACAATTAATGGGTTCAAGTTTTCAAAGATGTGTTGGATCGAGATTCTGAAATTAAGGATTGAGTTTCCTGGGTTCCGACAGATGGTTTCTAAAGATGTGTTGAATCGAGATTCCGAAATTAAATAATCGAGTTTCCTTGGTTCCGAAATATGATTTCTAAATATATGTCGAATCGAGATTCCGAAATTAAAGAATCGAGTTTCCTTGGCTCTGAAAACGGTTTTCGTTGAGATTCCTTAACGGAAAGGCAAAATCGGGTTTCGGAACGAAAAATGCTTGGTCGGTGGAGAGATTCTGGTAACTATAGTCTACCACATGTTATTGTACATTTATTGGTGGAAAATTGGTAACATGGAGAAGCAAGAAACAAGATGTCATGGCTAGATCAAGTTCAGAGGCTAAACATATAGCAATGGCACATACTACATGCAAATTGATGTCGTTAAAAACAATGATCTAAGAGACAGGATTTACTGATCCAAGAGACGGGGATTTACTGTTGCTGAACCTATGAAGATGTATTCTGATAATAAAGTTGCCACTTATAAAGCCGGTACTCCAATGTTTCATGAAAGGGGACCAAGCATATTGAAGTAGGTTGTCATTTTATTTAAGAGAAAGTTGCTAGTGAGTACGTCTCTATGCCATATGTGAAATCTAAGGATCAGCAGGCAGACGTCTTCACCCTCGGCCATAATACATTCCAAATAATTTGTTCCAAGCAGCACATGGGCGACATCTATGCTGCAGCTTGAGGGGGAGTGTTATCAATGTTCTAGAACCTAAGTGCCCTAAGTTTGTCTGTATGGGCAGTTTTTCCCTTTAATCTTTTTTTAATAATATATATTAGTTTAAGAGATGCGTGAGGGGCAAGAAGACCTCACGGCACTCTCTCTTTCCTCTCAGGTCTTCTCTCTCTTCTCTCTCTTCTTCTTCCTCTTTTCTCTTTTCTCTCTCTAGATTCTGACATTAACATAGATATAAGTAATCTTAAGAGAATTATTTATTTTTGTAGTTCAATTGGATTATTTTCTACATCACTTGAAAATAACAAGCCCTAATAGTGATCACAAGGAGAAGGGAGAGAACCAACAAATTAGTGACAAATCACCTCCAAATTTCATTAATTTAAGGTTCTCAACGACAAAGTTGCAGACCAGCCCCATGGACTCAAATAATAATGATTTAAGCAAATCCAAAACTCAAAAAAGTTCCTTGGACATCCTCCCCATCATAACCTTCTAATCCTAGCCCTCCTCTATTGACTTCAAATGAAAGACTAAATCCGAATTCCCTAAAAGCACTAATTGCCTCTCTTATGTCACATGCTCCTACAATCCTTCTTTGCCAAACCACGTGCTATGGGTCATGGCTTAGGCATGGCTATATCATTAACCCTAGGTTGGAAAGAACTCGACCTTTGCATATTGTGCTCAACATAGAGGCAGTACAACTTCAAATCCACTTTCTCAATCTTTGAGAGCGTACAAATCTGTTCAGGCCAAGCCGTGTTCTAAAACATTGCAAAATCTGGATCCACCTCCTTTAACATTTGTATTGAGTTGTAATTCCTCTTTGTTGAGCACAACTCATGAAGGTAGAGTATTGCTCATGAGAAAAAGATGATATCAATTTTGAGCACAATTGGCCAAGGACTCAGCATCTGCTTGCAAGTTGTGCTCACTGTAGAGTCTTGTGTTTTAAAGCATAGATGCAGCAGAAATCTGTTTCAAGCTCTACCAAGAGGCTGTATAAATCTGGATCCACCTCAACATACAGGCCGTATAAGACTCATGCCCAAGCCATGTTTTAAACATTTCTCTCCAGCCTCCATGAATCAGACACTGGTTCTATGAGTGAACTGAAACTTCTAAGAAAGCAAAGATAAAAAGGTGCAAGGCCAAAAAGCCACACCTCAATGAGCAACTTTGAGGCCTTCACCTTTTATTGGTCGACGCTAATGCCCTAGTATGAAACAACATAGCCAAATAGGATGACATGGCATTGTCCATCATAAAGTAGTTTTTTCAAATTCACAAAAAATGATTCCTTCCTTCACACATCAATTGCTTGTTTCAAGTGGTTAAGATAATTTTTCTGGATTAGCACTAAAAACCCAAGATATTCTCAAAATAAGCCACTACAAATTTACCAGTAAAAGAATGAATACCTCAATCATTAAGTTCATCAACGTGCTTGGGGCAGTGTAAAGCCCAAATGGTATCACCACCAACTTGTGAAGTCCCTCCTGCACTTTTAATGGGGTCTTCCATTCACCTCAAGAAGATTCCACATTTGATTGTAACCACTACGCAAATTTATATTTCAGAAAACATTGGCACCATGAAGCATATCTAAGTATCTAACATCTCATTGATCTTGGTATGGGAAATCGATATTTGACTGTTTTGTTTATCAGTCATGGTACTATGTACACGTACCTTCGATGACCCATCCTCAAATAAAGCAGGAAAGGCACATGGCAACATGCTTCCCCAAGTCAATCCTTTTTAAGAAAGTCAGTGACTTGCCTATGCAACACTTAGTGTTCTATGGGGTTCATCTATTAGCATTGTGTCATCTTCTCCGACATAACTTTCATCTACTCAATGGACCTTGACATAATAAAACAAAGGGATTGGCACCATGTCTGGTCACTCAACTGGAGTAACCTGATTCTTGTTGAGCCATATTAAGTCTTGACCAAGTCCACCCAAAGTTCTTAAGAAACTGATGACTATTGTCAGAGTCTTGAGTGGTCAGACTCAAGACTTGACAAACTGACTCGTACATGCCCCCTGGAAGGTTTCGTGCTAGGTTCTCTGTTTTAAGCGCAGGTAGTTTGCTGCCCTGATGTCAACGTAGAAGTACCTGTGGCCAATTCCCTTCTCCTAAGGTCCAAATTGACAATTTCCTCCATCATGAGGGCCAAGATGTATCCATCAGACATCTTGTCACCAACTCATTTTCGATGAATTGGTATGGCCCATTTATGGAGCAACTTTTGATCCTCCGGTTGGATGACAAGGTATACATGCTCACCACTTTATCCCTATGTTTGAGATTTTGACACCCTCATTACAAGTTTTGGCCATAGTTCATCCACAAAAACTTCCTGTGCAGTTTGGTCATGATCTTCTCCGATGAACTAATATTCTCCTGACCTTGACAAAGACGATGTCGATGCAAATCATCCCACAACATGGCTAGAAAAGCTTAGTTGACCACCATTTTGTTGTTGAATATAAAGCATATTAAAAAATTATTATTTATATTCGCAAACGTTTTCAGCTTTGCTTTAGCAGATCAAGAAAATCACCACCATGAAGTTGACCATGGAACTTGGGAATCTCAAATCCGATTCCAGGTTCCTTCTCCTTTTTCAGTAGTCGAAGGATTCGAACATTGAGTTCTTCATTAATTAAGGCCGCCCGCGGCTCGTTAGGAATGAGATGAAGGTCACCCCTTCACCATCAGTCTCTGGATTCCTTCCATGCCAATGCTCACCCATCTTCCAGCTTGTGCTTATCTCCTTTCTTGGTTAGAGCTTAGATTGCATGAGTCTTCCTTCCATGCCAATACTCACCCATCTTCCAGCTTGTGCTTATCTCCTTCTTGGTTAGAGCTTAGATTGCATGAGTCAATTGGATTATTTCTTTGTGGGTTGTGGACCTGCTCCAATACCATTTGAAGCATGTTGGCACAGTGACACTTCAAAAATCAGTAACACAACTCACCTCATCCCAAAAACCTAACAAGCTTTAATGGTGATCCCAATAGGGAAGGAAGAAAACCAACAAAATGATGGGGTATTCCGCACAAATTTAATTAATTCAAGGTTCTAAACAACAAAGTTGCATAGCACTCCTCAAAACCCTAGAATAATACCTTTTTAGGTGAAATCAAAACCCTCCAACAAAATCCTAGCCATCCATATTCCTTTAATCCAAGCCCTCTATTATCGACTTAAAATGGAAGATTAAATCCTGGCCCAAACTAATCTAGAAATAGAAACTAGAGAAACCCAGGATAACTTCCCTAACAGCACTAATTGCCCTATGTATGCCCCATGCTCCTATGACCACTCTTTTCCCATCCACAAATTTTTCTCTCAATTAGGACATGAAGATCTCTTAATTGTGCTTTCCCAGGTCTTCCTATGTAGGTATCGGTTTGAACTTTGAAGTTAGTTTAAAATTTGAAATATTAAACTGTGAAAGTTATTTCTTGACTGCGATATATTTTTCCATATGCTTTCTTCAATTTTGATACTTATTTATAGTTGTTTAAAGTTTGTTCTTCTTGGTGAAAAGCTTCTGCAAGTAACTCAAAGTAATAATTCACAAAAATTGATCTTCCTAGTTATTGGACCATATTAGACTTCCATAACCTATAATTCCGGTCCAAGTCTTCCATTTCAAAATAAAGTAGACCCAATCCATGGAAAATCAAAGAAGCAATTATTACTGCCTTGGCATGCAGTAAAATAATGCTAAACTCTCACATGTCCAAACAATGCATCTTGGGTTTTGTTTGAATTATGAAATCTTTTAGTTAGAGAAAGACAAGCAGCCCCAGACCTTATAAATGGAATATTTATGGTAGAGAGAGAAAAGCAGCCCCAGTACATAAATACAAGTTGGGTTTTGTTTGAGTAATGAAATTTTTAGTTCGAGAGAGAAAATCAGCCCATTGGTTTCTATGCATATTGGTTTTGTTTGAATGATGAAATATCTCAGGTAGAGAGATAAAATCAGTCCCGGAGTTCATATGCATGTTGGGTTAAATTCAAGTGATACAACATTCCAGGTATAAAGTATAAACAGAAAAGAAACCATGCTCTGGTTTTGTTTGATAATGCAACCGCTTCAGGTAGAGAGAAGAAGAGGAGGCCCTAGAACTAACCTGCAAAGGAGAGGGAATCAACTGCGTATGGAGTTGGGTTTCTTCTAATGCAAACTGAATGAACTTCTGGTAAGAAAAAGCTGCATTTCGAGAGAGGCATCTCTTCTGAGGAGGATAAGGCGAGGGGTCAAGCTTCATTTTTCCAAAGCTTGAGGACCTTCTGAAGAGACACTCCATCTCTCTCTCTTTCTCTCTTTCTCTCTCTGACTCCGCTGGCTTCAAAACCAGAGAAACCAGTATTTCCATTCAAAGGAGCCTCGCCCAATTTGAAAACCCCCCAAAACGGAAAAAGGGTTTCCTGCTATCCACAATGCTAAGAGATTGTCTGTTCCCGCGGGCGTATTACTATCCATTTACTTCCTTCAACAAAACACAAGCTAGGGAGGTGGCAACGGGTCGGGCGTACTCCGGTCTGGCGCCGGACGTCAATGATATCTGGGTCCAGGTTTTGGACCCGGATCCGATTCATAGTTCCAAAAGTTGGACCCCCGTCAGGTCCCGGGTTAAATCAGGTCCATTACCACCCTAATTATGAGCTTTTTTTTTATTTTATTTTTTTTTTTTAACCATCAAATACCCATATTATTGAAAACAAGGTCAAAATCACCTACCAAATTTCAAGCCGTACAAAGATAACTATGAGTTCTTATTGTATATAATGTTTAATGTACCCAAACGAATAGAGTTTGAAGTATTTTTTATCTTCAACAGTTTACGGGTATGGGTTGGATATAGGTCGGGTCCTACCATACCCGAATAGTGTTCGAGTCCATGTTTTGAACCCGGATCCAACCCGCTTGGTCCAAGTGTTGGACCCATACCTGGGCCCGTGTTGGGTATGCCTGGTGGGTCTCGAGTCGGATCCGAGTCTATTGCCACCCCTAGCTAGGGATGCTTTTTAGATCTCAAATTTAGAGGATGTTGTCTCTACAACCCATGACTACTTCCAATAAAATTATTTTTAAAATAAACTCTTTTTGTACTAAAATAAAATAATATCTCACAATTAAATATAGATCGTCAAATTTTTGAAGGGCTAGATCTAAGTGTCATAAAACTTAAAATTCTATTTTTATTTTGAAAACAATAATCTAGTACTTTTTATATGGTTGTTAAATTTTTAGGTTAAAAAATAGACTAAAGAGGTGTCTTGATGAAGAGAGTATTTTACATAATATACGTCCAGTGGGAGCATAGTATATGCACCCATCCACAGCTGCTTAGTAAAATGTCATCTGTGGGTTGCCATGTGCTAAAGAGTCAAGGGAATGGTATCAAATCATATCATCGCAACGATGAATATTTTTATGAGGAGGTTACAACCGTAGTTAGCAAGTTGATGAATAATAACAGGGATTTTCTACAAGCCATCCAATTTAACATCAAAAAACACAAAATGAGTGGTTATATGAGGGTCATTGATATGACACAAGGGTTTCAAAAAACATTTGGTCATATTAAAAATAAATGTTGGTATCTTAAGTTGAACCGACAAGCTAATTTTGTAAAAAAAAAATGAATCAAAAGAAACTAGCTTGTTTTTAGCATGTATGTATACAAAAGAAACTGTAAAAGATGTTTGGTTTTGGATAGTGGTTACAGTAACCACATGTCTGACTTAAGGAATATTTTTCAAAATATTGATGAAATTATGAAGATGCATGTTCGACTTGGCGATGATAAGCAAGTGCAAGTTGAAGGTAAAGGAACGGTTGTATTAAAAACTGCATCCGGTAAGGTTAAGGAACTAAATGATGTTTTATTTGTTTCAAATCTTGCACATAATCTATTAAGCATTGGGCAATTGATGCAAAGGGGGTTATTCTATTTATTTGATGATGATAAATGCTCTATTAGAGATAAAAAATCTGGTTTGACTATTGCAAATGTTCGAATGGCGGGAAATAAAATATTCCCTTTTGAATTGTCATGCTTTGGTTGCATATGTTAGAAAAGAATCTCAGTTATGGGATATGAGATATGGACATCTTCACTTTAAGGGGTTAAAATTATTGAACCAAAAGGAAATGGTGAATAGCTTACCAAAAATTTGTTATAATGGTGAACTTTGTGAAGCCCGTCTTTATAGAAAACAACACTGAATGTCATTTCCAATAGGAATGGCATGGAGAGCAAAATGCTCACGTGAATTAATTCATGCTGATGTGTGTGGCCCAATACAAACCAAATCCTTAAGTGGCAGCAAATATTCCTTGATATTTATTAATGATTTTAGTAGAATGTGTTGGGTATTTTCTTAAACAAAAATCTTAGGCATTTCAAATGTTTCAAAATTTAAAGCATTGGTTGAAAAGCAAAGTGGTTTTCCATAAAGACTTTGCGAACCGATAGAGGTGGTGAATTTGTTTCAAATGAATTTGACTCCTTTTATAAAGAAAATGATATATATAGACAACTCACTACTCATTATACACCAAAGCAACATAGTGTGGCAGAGAGAAACAACATGACTATTGTCGAAATGACAAGGAGTTTGTTAAAAGCAAAAAATCTTCCAAATGATTTTTGGACACAAGCTGTAGCTACCTCAGTTTATTTGTTGAATAGATCTCCAACAAATGCACTGCAAAATCAAACACTATATGAAGCATGGAGTGGAAGGAAACCTGATGTAAGTCACTTTAAAGTCTTTGGTTGCAATGCTCATGTATTTGTCAATTCTGAACTCCGTAAAAGGCTGGTTGACAAAAATGAGAAATTTATATTCATTGGATATAGTTCAGAATCTAAAGTGTAACAGTTGTATAACCCAAAAACTAAAAAATTAATCACAAGCCATGATATTGAGTTTGATGAAAATGGTTGTTTGGATTGGAGAGAAACCATAGAGGAAGATAATTCTGCATTTCCATTGAATTTGGAAAATAATAATAGCACATAAGTTTGTAATGATTTGCATATAAACACATCTTCAGAAAACCCACTATGGAGATTTAGATCCTTACAAGAAATTTATAAAACTTATAGTTTCGCTCTCTTTATTGCATATCCAACAAATTTTGAGAAAGCAGTTGAAAAGGAGGAATGGCTAGAGGCAATGAGAGATGAGATGATGGCCATTGAAAGAAATCAAACTTGGGACTTGGTAGATTTGCCTCAAGAGAAAACTACGATAGGGTTAAAATGGATATCCAAAACAAAACACAATGCTAATGGAAGTGTATAAAAATATAAAGCTTGATTAGTAGCTAAATGATGTGCACAACATCAAGGTATTGATTTCTTTGAAACTTTTTCTCTTGTTACAAGATTAGAAACTGTAAGAATAATTTTAGCAGTTGCAGCTCAAAAACAATGGCCTATCTATCAACTTGATGTCAAATCTACTTTTTTAAATGGAGAGCTAGAAGATAATGTGTATGTAACTCAACATGAAGGGTTTAAAGTTAAAGGAAAAAAAAAAAGTTCTATAAATTAAAGAAAGCACTCTATGGATATAAACAAGCCCCGAGAGCATGGTATAGTAGAATTGATAGTTATTTTCATGAAAATCACTTTAAAAGAAGTACAAATAAACACATTATATTTGAATGGGTGAATTTCTTATTGTGTGTGTCTATGTTGACGACATCATTTATATTGGGTCTTCATTGTCACTTGTTGAAGAATTCAAAGATAATATGATGCATGAATTTGAAATGACTGATTTAGGGCTTTTGCATTACTTTTTATCTTGAGGTTAAACAAGAAGAGAATGGATGATTTAGACCTACTAAAGAGATTTAACCTGTCTTGTTGCAATATCATTGATACACCAATGAATGCAAATGAAAAGCTTAGCCTTGAAGATGAGAATGAAAGAGTTGATGCAAAATATTTTAGAAGCTTTGTTGGTGGGCTGATGTATTTAACTCACACAACACCTGACATAATGTTTGCCATAAGTATTTGTGTTAAGGTTTATGCACAATCCTACTGAGCATCATATGGGGGCAGCAAAAAGGGTACTGCGTTATATTTATGGTACATCAAACTATGGACTTTGGTACACTCATGTTTCTAAATTTGAATTAATTGGCTATACTGACAATTATTGAGCAGGTTCTTTAGATGACAGGAAAAGCACCTCCAGTTTCTTTCAATCTTAGCTCTGGAGCTACTTCATGGTCATCAAAGAAACTAGCAACTACAACATTGTCATCATCGGATGCAAAGTTTATAGTTGTTGCATCAACCGCATGCCAAGCTATATGGCGAAGGAGATTGCTAGGAGATCTTTGTGAAGTCCAAGAAAATGCGACTATAATTTTCAGTGGCAACAAAGCAACAATTGCCACGATAAAGAATCCAATTTTTCATGAGCGAACAAATCACGTCGAGATCAAGCACCATTTCATCCGAGATATGGTGTCGGAAGGCCTAATTGAGATTAAGTAATACCCTACAAAAGAAGAACCAGATAATGGTTTCACAAAAGCACTTTCATTTCTAAACTTTGCATATTTTAGAAAATTGCTTGGTGTTAAAGATTTGTATCAAGGAGGAGTGTTAAAGATGATGCAGAAAAAGTGGAATGTAATGGGTAGTTCTCTCTCTCTCTCTTCATGTAAGTAAACACGTAGATAGTGGTGTACGGGTAGTTATCTCTCTTTCTATCTACGTGTATGGGTAGTTATCTCACTCTCTCTCTCCATGTAGATAAACACGTAGATAGTGGTGTATAGGTAGTTATCTCTCTCTATCTACGTGTATGGATAGTTATCTCTCTCTCTATCTACGTGTATGGGTAGTTATCTCTCTCTCTATCTACGTGTATGTGTAGTTATCTCTCTCTCTCTTCACGTAGGTAATGAGTAGTTATGTAGTTTTGTTGTACAAGCCTATATATATGGGCTCTATGAATTGAATTGAAATGAAAGGGTGTGAAAAAAAAAAAAAAACTTAAGTTGAGTTATGTGTCTATCTCTCCATGAGTACGTGAGGATGTATTTTTAAAAAATTAACAGACAAACAAAATGGCGATCTATACCAATTTTGAATTTGGCAACCTACAGTTTGACATCAATGATGTCTGATTTTGAAATTTGGATTGATTCTTTGCAATATTGAGCCCTTAAAGTGGATTTTTAGCAAACCATAAGTGTTTTTAGATGATCAGCCACACTGCGACTGAAACATGGCTGGACTCCCACTGGGGGCAGTAGTGGGGAATCTTGGACAATGGACGAAAACCCGATCCAGCAACGTCTCTACCGGAACTTCGAGACTGGCTCCATCCCATGCCTCATTTCTCTCTCTATTACCAGCCACCACCCCAACACCATCACCGACAACCCCTCAGTCCCCCCTTGTTCCAGCACTACAATCACCTAGCCACCGCCACTCAATTCTCAAGTCCACCACCACAACTATCTCTACCACCATTGCCACATAGCCACCATTTCCACCACCATCACCACTCACCACCATTACCAAGCCACCTAATGTGCCACCAATTCCATCATCACCACCATAACCATCGCCACTTAGCCACCACCACTCCACCCCCCCGGCCACCACCACTGCTATTCGCAGTCGCCACGACTATACTACCTCCATTGCACTGTCACCATCACCACCAACATTGCACCACACAATAACAAATTGAATTCAAAATTTGAAATTTAAACAATCAAACAACCCTAGACAACAAATTATGAATGAAAAAATTGGGGATTACAAGTTTGGCAAAATAGAAACATCATTTAACCAAAGGTTCGGACCTCAAATATTGCTTCAGAAGTGCAAACAAGCTGACCAAAGGGTTCGGACCCTTGGCTTGGCGGCTAGGGTAGTGAAACTACAACGTAACGTCGAGGGTTCCAATCCCCTACTTACTCGTCAAAAGATGTTATAAGACTAATGTGATGTGGTATGTCGTCGAGTCGCAACGGACTCACCCAAGTCGACACGAGAATCAGACATCCCATGTCGATTCCTATGTCAAACGTTTAATCGTCGGTTCTTCAATCTTGGATACGACGTCATAGATTGGCGTATGACATTACAATCGACACGGGAATCGGTCACCCCGTGTCGATTCCTATGTAAAACGTTTAATCGTCGATTCTTCAATCTTGTGTATGTCGGGTTCTTCAATCGTGTGTATGATGTCATAGATCGTGTCGATTCTTATGTAAAACGTTTAATCGCCGGTTCTTCAATCGTGTGTATGTCGGGTTCTTCAATCATGTGTATGACGTCATAGATCGGCGTATGACATTACAATCTGTACGTACGTCATCGCCGGTTCTTCAATCGTTTGTATGACGTCATAGATCGGCATGTGACATTACAATCTTTGTGTATGATGTCATAAGACGGGTGTATGACATTACAATCTTCCCTTATACATCATGGATCTTTGTGTATGATGTCATAAGATGGGCGTATGACATTGCAATCTTCCCTTATACATCATGGATCACCCTGATGACATCAATGTTGACAAACTCATGCACACGTGGCCACATGTATCAATATTTCATGGTAGTAGGGGTTGGTTTTCTTATTTTATAAGACCTCTTCTTCCTACATCTTTTCGATGTTGGACAATTCCTTAATATACTTTTGCTTTCTAATATAGCCTTTTATTTACATAAATAATACAACAAAGTGGTGTTGTGGTATATTTGGTTATTAGATTCTTCTTACCCTTTGAACCTCTTGCGCGGCACCATCTTCTTCTTGTCAAAAAAACATAACCTCTTGGGCGGCACCGTCTTCTTTCTTGTCAAAAAATAAATAAAAGGTAATACAACAAGTATTTCTTGTCAAGAAAAAAATAAAAGGTATTTCTTAATGGGTGCAATTGGCATACAGATGCATCTGTAGCTGTAAAGGTAAGATGCACCTTCAAATTTTATCATGTTATGTAATTTTGATGTAAAATGTTATTTGGATTATCTCAAAATCTATTTTATA